AATTTCTATTGGTTAGCAAGGTTTGCAATTTGACAAATCATCCAGTCGATTCCCGGATGGGCCCTTTCGTACCAGTTGGCAAGGCTTCCAAAATTCTGGGTGCCCCCCATTGGTGCGGAAAACTTCTACCCACTGACAGGGAAGGAAGGGGGGGCTCCCTGGTGATCACAAACCCAGCTGCATCCCAACAGACCCGCCCTTCGCCCAGCATCGCAAATGCGCATGCCCCAGAGAGGGGAGAAGAAACTGCACCTGCGCTCGCCTTTTGACAACACTTCGGTCACACGTTTTGAAACATTTCCTCGATTCCATCACACACACCCCCCGGCCCTGCCGTCCAGCCAGTCTTTGATCTGGACCCACACCGCGAGCCGCCTTCATCAGACGACACGGGGCGGGGGCACGTCCCTTGTCGCGTCGTCCGCACCCTGCCCGACACGGCGCTCCTGATCGTGGGCCCTGCCGTGCCTGTTTGGTGGGGTCTCCGCGGGCGTCGTCGAGAGGGTTGTTTCACGGCTGGCGGTAAACGTGCTCACATCTGCTGTGTGTTCGTCCGGAGATGCGCGATCAACCTATTTGGGAAAAGAACCAACAGAACCAACAGAACCCCGTGGCTCGTCATCTACATCTTAACCGTGTGCGCGGTTTGCTCTCCTGGGCATCTGATGTTTCCCTGGGCCTCACCAGAGGCACTTTGTCAGTCTTTTGACCTGCACACCCCATGAGGTGCGTGGCCCGCTGAATGGAAGTATTCAAACAGGGCCAGATAGTGTTTATGCAGCGCATCTAGTGTTCGAGACTTATGATAGTTGCAACGGATCATGTGTTGGTTGGGATGGGCATGTGTCTGCTGCTGATGACTATCGTTGCTTGGTCCCCGGGAGCATGCCCTGAGTATTGTGCACCGAATAAGGTCCCTTGCATGCGGCATGCCAGACAATGCGATGGCCCCCCTAAATCTCTTCCATATCATCCAAATCATCCAGCACAGGCCAATCCCCCACTTCCACGCGCTCCGGGCGGACGAAGACGCCATGCTTCAGCGCAGACTCCTCGCCCCAGTAACGTGTCCCTTGGATACTGCCGTCGTTCTTCCCCACCGGCTCGTCGAGGTGTACGCCAACCCATGGCCCCGCGCCGCCTGGGATTGCGGGCACCTCCCCCACATACTTGATGACACCGCGCCTCGTGTCATCGCCGCCAACGCGGCACCTACGACCAGCGCCGATGCCGCGCTGCTGAATGTCGCGTTCGAACGCTTCAATCTTGGCCTGCTCGTGGCTTGGGGCGTCGGGGTCGAAGCGGCCCAGCTTCTGAGCCTTCTTCCAGGCAAGGACCGAGTCTGTCTTCTTCTCGTATTCCTCAACAGGGAGGACAAACTTTTCGACGCTCGTGTCATTAAAGTTGGGCTGAGCGTTGATGGGGCGCGTGTCCACGACCTGGGGCTTCGCGTTAGTGTCAAAATATCCGGCTGCCTGTGCAGTTGTTGGGCAGGCACGAAAGACGACTGTGTGGGCGGCGGCAACGGGTTCGGGACGAAAATGCATCATCCTAGCATGTGTGTCTTGTTTCATCTT